ACATGCTTTATGTTATAATATTTGAAAAATTGTTCCAATTTTGTAGAGACATATGCTGGAGCATTGTCAGTTTTTATTTGTGCTGGTATACCCATAACTGCCATCACCTCTATCAGGTGCGTAATAACAGAATCAGCTTTTTCAGAGTTAAGAGCAGTAGCCCATTGGAACCCTGAGAATGTGTCTATAGTATGATGCACATATTTCAAATTTTATTGATTTTTGTTCTGTGTATGTGTGTGTGGGCATGTGGGTGTCAGAGAACAATTTTCAAGAATTGGTTCTCTTCTAACATGTGAGTCCCAATGATTCAATTCAGGTCGCCAGGCTGTGCGACCAGTGCCTTCATCTATTAAGCAATTGACCAGTGTAGAAAAGCTAAGTTTATCTCACATAATTGACAAAATATCTGGTCAAATTCGGCATAGATGCTGATGTATCTCACCCTAGTCATCCGTAAAATATTCACTGAATGTCTGAAAGTTTGGACCAAGAAGATAAGGCAATGAACAGCTCTAGGAACCTGTTCTGGAGGAAGTAGAGAAATAAACCAGGAGCACATGGCTATAGTGTTATGCAGTAAAACAGGAGGAAGGGAACGGAACAGGCATTTAGGAGGCAGAGGCTGAGTATGGGAGTGGAAGGCAAAAGTCTTTCTACTTCGTAAAAGAACTACAAGGCGTGCTACGCAAAGGCTCTTCTACAGAGGTATCTCCAAGTCCTGGAGACATGCACACATATGTGTGTAATAAGTAATCTGCAAACTATACATTATTATACCTATATGACAATTTTATTTAATTAAGATAGAATTCTATCATTTTCCCCACTTTCTCCTCCCTCTAACCCCTCCCATGTTCCCTTCTCAAACTCATTGCCTCTTGAATGTTAATTCTTATTGTTACACATATACATACGTATGAGTAGATAGATATACAAGTGCATCGTGATGATTTCATTCAGAGTTGCTTGTATGTATTTGATTTCAGAGCTGAGTACGTGGGATTGGATAAACATTTAGGGGGCGCATCCCTGGTGAAAACGAGTTTTTCTTCTCTCAGCAGTCGTTATTGTCTGTAGCTCTTTTTCTAGGCGTAAGATCTCTAAGAGATTTCTCCCTTCGGTTTTGGCATGTTAGCTAGTATCATTGTTCAAGTCTTGTTTAACAGTCATACTGTAGCTTCTCTGTCTTATCCAGAAGACACTGTCTCAGTAGATTGCTTTGGTTACCTAGGGTCTTTCTGGTTCTATGTGAGTTTTTGAGTTATTGTTTCTATTTCTATGAAGAATGTTGTGGGGATTTTGCTTAGGATTGCATTGAATCTGTTCATTGCTTTTGGTAATGTTGCCATTTTTACCATATCATCTCTACCTACTCATGGGCATCTGAGTTTTGTTTTGTTTTGTTTTATCTTGTTTCATTGTCTAATATCTCCTATCTTTTCGTCAGAGATTCAAAGTTTTCACTGTAAAGTCCTTCACCTCCTTGGTTAGGTTTATTCCTAGATATTTATTATCTTTGAGGGTATTGTGAAATGGGCACATCATCTCTTCCTCAGACTGGTCTCTAGAAAACCTACTGATTTTCATGAGTTGATTTTTGCATGTTGCTGTTTTGCTAAAATTATTCTTTCTAGAAGTTGATCTGATGGGGTATTTGGAGTCTCTTATGTCTAATACCATGTTATCTGGAAATAAGGATAATTTTTGCTTTTTTTTCCCCTGTTTTTGACTCTAATTTTCTTCTATTGCTTTATCACTCCAGATAGTGCTTGGAGCACTATATTAAAAAGGAGTGAGGACTGTAGACAACTCTGCCTCATTCCTGAATTTAATGGGAGTGATTCAAGTTTTTCTCCATTTAACATGTTTGTCATATGTAGCCTTTACTAATGTCATGTATGTTCCCTCCAGTCTTACTCTCTCGAGGACTTTTACTATGAAAGTATGTTGGATGTTGTTTCTGTGTCTATTAAGATGATCATGTGATTTTTCCTTACCTTTATGTTATTTATTGACTTATATATGTTGAGCCATTCTTACATCTTTGGAATAAAGCCAACTTTAGTGATCTTATGAAACATATGCCACCATAGTTTTAAAGTATTTCATCAAACATTTTTGTAATTATGTTCATAAGGGATATTGGCCTGTGGTTTTGGCATATTTGTCCTGTACTTACCCAGTTTTGATGTGGAGTGATACTGACTTCATAAAGAAGTTTGTAAGTTTTCTTTCTTTTTGAATAATTTAAGTATTGGTTGTACATCTTCTTTGAAAGTCCAGTAGAATTTTGCTATGAATTCATCTGGGCCTAGGATTGTTTTAGTTGGTAGGGTTTTTATTACAATTACTATCGCCTTAGTTCTTAAACGGATCTATTTAGGTTGTTGGGTACTTCTTGAATTAACTTTGGTGGTTTGGATGAATTGCAAAATTTATCCACTTCTTTTAGATTTTCCAACTTAGTAGAGCACAGGTTTTTCAAACATTGCCTTATAATATTCTGAATTCCTTTGGTATCTGTAGTAACCTTTTTATATTCATTTCTGATTCTGTTCATTTGGAACATTTTCTTTCTTCTTTCTTTTAATTTATTGGGTCAATGCTGTTTATCTTCTCAAAGAACCAGCGCTAAGATTAGTGATACTTTGTATTGTTTTGTTTGTTTCCATTTCATTAATTTCTGCACTGATTTGTGTTTTATCTTGCCACCTGCTAGATTTGGGATTGGTTTGTTCTTGTTTTTCCAATTCTTGAGTTGCATCATTAAGTCATTTATTTATAATCTTTATAGTTTTCAATGTAGGAGCTTGGAGTTGTACATTTTCCTCTGAGGAATGCTTTTAATGTATACCAGCTGTTTGGGTGTGTTGTGTTCTTATTTTACTTCCAAAAAGTTTAAAATTATTTTTCTTGATTTCTTCTTTGGTCATTCATATCCCAGTAATTAGTTGGTTAATCTCCATGAGTTTGTATATTGATTGAGATTTGTTTATTGGTAATTTTATTTTATTTCATTGTGGTCAGATAAGATACTGAGTTATTTAAATTTTTCTGAATTAGTTGAGAATTTTTTTGTGCCCAAGTATATGGACTATCTTATAGGAGCTTCCATGATCTGCTGAGTAGAATGTATATTCTTTTGTGTTAGGATGAATATTCTGAAGATATCAGTTAGGTTCATTTGAAGTATGATGTCATGAAATTCTGATGTTTGTATTGTTTTCTCCAGATGGCCTCTTTACCTTTCTGTACTTTGAGAAAGTGAGGTGTTAGCATCATCTGCTGTTATTGGCTTGGTGTTAATCTGTGTCTTTTATTCTGATCCTATAGTTGCTATGAAGTTGTGTGCACTAGAGTTTTATGCCTATATGTTTCGGATTGTAGTGTTTTATTGGTTAACTGTTCCCTTGATTGAAATGAACAGAATTCTAATTTCTTTTGAGTCTTGACTATTTCTTTGATTAGTTCCAGTTTGAAGTCTATTTTGTCAGATATTAGGATAGCAATGCTTGCTTGTTGCCTGATCCTATTTTTGGGAATATTTTTTTCTATCTTCTCACTTTAGAGTAGTTTCTTTCCTTAAAGCTAAGATTATTTTCTTGCACCTAACAGAAATATGGATTTTGTTTTTTAAATCCAGCCTCTGTTTTTTAATTGGTCCATTAATACTTCAAGTTATTATTTAAAGGTGTGTGTTGGCTGCAGTCTTATTGTCCTTTTTTGCTGTCTATGTTCTTATTCCTAGTTTTTGTTTAGTAATTGTACCTTCATTTTTTCTTTCTACAGTCTGTTAGCTAGCTGTCTTCAGTCTGAAGTATTTCTTCCAGTATTCTGTGCCGGTCTGATTTTGTGTGTGTGAATTCTTTCAGCATGTTTGTATCACAGAAAGTTTTATTTTATTTTATTTTATTTTTATTAGTTCAAATTAGGAACAAGCTACCTAAAATCCACCACATCATCCTGGGTCAGTCCTAGGCCTTCACCCATGTGTCCAGGCCAAGAGTGCATCCTTTCATGTGGGATGGGCTCTCAAAGTCCCTCCTTACACCAGGGAAAAATACTGATCCACTACCAGGGGCCCCATAGAGTGCCAAGGCCTCTATGTGGTTGACATCCACTTTCAGGGGTCTGCATCAGTCCCGTGCTGGTCTCCCAGACAATAGTCTGGGGTCCATGTGCTCCCCGTTGTTCAGGCCAGCTGTTTCTGTGGGATTCACCAGACTGGTACCGACCCCTTTGATCTTCATTTCTCCTTCTTTGCAACTGGGTTCCAAAGTTCAGTTAAGTGTATAGCTTTGGGTGTCTGCCTCTGCTTCCATCAGCCACTGGATGAGGGCTCTAGCATGGCATATAAAGTAGTCATCAGTCTTATTATAGGGGAAGGGCATTTAGGGTAAGTAGCCTCTCCACCATTGCCTTGTAGATCTCTGGAAATCTCCCTAGTGCCAGGTCTGATTTTGTATGTATGAATTCTTTCAGCATGTTTGTATCACAGAAAGTTTTTCTTTTTTTTCTACTTCATATATGGCTAATAGTTTCACTGGATACAGACATACAGTTCGGCATTTGTGGTCTTCTAGAACTTGGATTCATTGCTCTAACTTCTTCTGACTTTCAGAGTTTCCATTGAGAAATCAGGTATTACTAAAATGGGTTTTCTTTTGTGTATGCTTTTCTGTCTTGCAAGTTTCAATACACTTTCTTCTCTATATTTTAATGTTTTAACTACTGTATGCTGTGAGAAAATTCTTTTCTGGTCATGTCTATTTGGTATTCTGTGTGTTTCTTGTGTCTTTTTGTAGGTCAGGGCTGTTTTCCTTTTGTGATCATGCTGAAATTCTGGCCTATGACACTCATCTGGGATCTATCTTCTTTATCTATGCCTTAGTTCCAAGATTTGGTCTTTTTGTACTTTCTCACAATTAATGTCTGTTCCTTTCCTGTCTTTTAAAATAGGTTTCACATTCTTTGCTTGTGTTGTCTAATTCTTCTATTTTTAACCTTGATATTCCATCTTTTTCTTGTTCAATTCTACTTGTAAGCCTTTCCTGAGTTTTCTCAATGGGTAATTGAGGGTTTTTTTTTTTTTAATTTCTATCTCCATTTCAGCTTGAGTTCTTTTCAATATTTCTATCTTCTTATTGAATTTGAATCTCAAATCCTGTATTGTCTTCGTCATTTCACTCATGTTTGTTTTTCGTGAACATCAAATGGGCATTTATTCTCGAGGTTCACTACACTGTGTCTTTTTTTAAATTGCTTGAATTCTTTGATGAAGTTTATGTTGTTCTTTTTAGGTACTGTACCTCAGTGCCCATAAAGGTAATTCGCACTGAAGAACATTCCTATAGGACTAGTAGATTTGGTGGCATATATACTGTCTTGATCTCTTATATTGTTTTTGCAAGAAGACAAAGGCCTGCGGACTTCTTTTGTTGCTTGTGTTTCTGATGTGGACACAGTAAGCTGTGAGGCTGGACTCTAGTATAGGATGTTTGTACTGGGCTTGGCCTGGAGAATGGATCTATACCAGTCTACATGGGGTGACCAGTGCCAGGGTCATGCCAAAGCATGCAGGAGGCTTACCTGTGTCTCCTCATCACGTGATCCTGCTAGAAGGTCCTTTGTGGAAAGGAGCCTGTTATCTGGCGAGAAGAGTAGCTGGGGAGAGGTGGGGTGCCAGGATCCCTGGCAGGCAGCTGCAGGGTGACATGAGCTGGGAACTAAACATAAATTGTTAAAAGTTCACTTTGACCACCTTGGCAGAAAGGACTGTTGGGAACAAGGGGGCAGAATGTGGAATAACCGTTTGAGGCTACTAAAATTTCCCATGGTGACTTGGCTAAAATGGTAACAATTGAGAGATGAGAAAAGGTTGTATTCCACATAGGTTTGGCAGCAGGGGGTGGGGGACTTAGGATTTTCTAGTTTGAATCATATAGAAAACACAAGTCAAGGGCAACTCCAAGTATTTGGTGGAAGAAAAGCTGTAAGAACACAGTTGCCGTTGCAAAGGAAAAGAATGGGCTTTGTTTTGAAGGGACTCCTAACTATGAATTTAACGACATACTTGCTTTGCCTTTCATCAGAAAATTTTAGTCTCATTTCCTCCTTTATCCTTGTTTTCCTTTTTGTAGGTTTGTAGAATTAAGTACAATACGGAGTAGGAGAAAATCATGCATTTACAACACATGTGTGAACTTGTATTATAGTAGTAACTTAAGACAAACATAAAAAGACAGATACTACCTCACTTACATGTAAAATCAAAAGAAACTGGATTCCTAGAAACAGAATAGAATGGTGGTTGCCAGGAATGTACAGGTGAGGGAAATGAGAGGATGTATAGGATGAATGGGGTCTGGAAACCTGCTATCCCGTAATGTACCTATCACTAACAATAATGCTTTATATACTTGACATTCACTAAGGATGCAGGGTTTTGTTTTGTTACACTTTCCTGTTTGCTTATTTACTTGGAACTGGACATTTAAATCCAAGACCTTGCTTAGTCTGAGCACACTCTGGAGCCATATAGCTCCAGCCCTGCAAGCAGAATTTGAAAACAACACCACAAACAAAAACCCTGTGTGAGGCAATTTGAACAAATCCTGGCATTTGTTTTAGGGTGTATATGGATATTAGAATATTACTTCAACATTTCAAATATAGATAGGTTTATTTTGTCAGTTATTCTTCAATAAAACTGAAAAAGAAGCGTGGAATTGAGTGTGATAGTGTTTACTATTTTGGTAATCCAGTAGGTGTACAATTCTAAATGTTCTTTATTTTTGTAGATGGCCAAGTGTTTTCATGGGGAAAAAACAGCCAAGGGCAGCTGGGCTTGGGGATGCAGTCCAGTTCCCAAGCCAGCCCACAGAAGGTGACGTCCCTGGAGGGAATCCCACTGGCCCAGGTAGCTGCAGGCGGCTCTCACAGTTTTGCTCTCTCTCTCACGGGGACTTCATATGGTTGGGGAAGCAACAGTGTTGGGCAGCTGGCCCTCAGTGGGGAAAACTCCACAGGTAAGAAAATAATTTTGTCCTTACAACAAATTGTTATTCCTTTGCAGCTGGAAGACTAGCCTGCCAAAGGACACATCACAGTGGTTTCCAAGCACTACCACATTGGCATTGTATCAGTTTCCTATTGTTTCTGGAATAATACCACAAAACTTTCAGCAACTTAAAACAATGAACTTTTTATCTAGGGTCAGGAGTCTGTTACTCAGTTTCAGGCAGCAGGATTGCCTTGCTTCCTGAAGGTTCTCGGTGAGAATCCACTCTCTTGTCTTTTCTAGCTTCTATAGGACACTAGCCTGAATAGGATATTCCCTGTGTCTTCAAAGCCTATAGTGGAAGATTAAGTCTTTCTTAAATCATGTTATTGTGACACTGGCTCTTTTGCCTCCAGTTTCCTCAATTAAAGGGGTAACACTGGGTCCACCTGGATCATCCAGGCTAATCTCCCTACTTTAAGGTCAACTGATGAGCATTTTTAATTCTACTGACTACCTTATTGTCCCTTTGTCCAGCAACTTATCATACTTACAAAGCTCTGGGCTTGAGATGTAAACCATTTGTCTACGTTTAAAGCTCTTGGTACCCAGGTTGGGCTCTATGTGCATTAGATCAGAATGTCTGTGAGTGGCAGTCAGGCTTCAGCCACTGTTATGGATTTAGGAACCACTGATCATATTAGAGGAAATGACTAGCTCTTGTGATAAGAAAAAATGTCTCTGAAAACTGTCTCTCTAAAATACAATTCCTTAAGAAGTCTTCTCCAAGAACTCCATTCTCCTCTGTTTATCCCTTCCATTTGGCTAATATATATCAGCACCTACTAGGTGCCAGAACTTTGGAAAGCATTTACATCCCATCTCACCCTCTGAAGGCATTTTCTCATTCTCTGTGTCACTAACATATGTTCAGGTACCTACTATGCATCAGAAATGAATACAAAATTATATTGGAAGCTTAGTATGCTCTAGGTTAATAGCTTTATATGTTCTAGAAGGTTAAGGATAGAAATAAATATTGAGTGAAGATTTTCCCCCTCAAATCGTATTTTTTTCTTTTTAACACTTCTGAATGTTCACTTTTAAAATTATGTTGAATTATAAGACATAAATGTAGAGATTGCAAAAGTTATACAATCATAAAGAAAATTCTGAGATGCACACTCCAGAGTCTCACTTTGTAGTGCAAGCCAGTCTCAAGTACACAAATCTGCTTCTGAGTCTTTTTCTTATATCCTAGAAAGTCTGCTTTCTTTCAGAAGTGCAAATCTCCAAGCCTCATTCAATTGATGCCCTGAAGAATCTAGGTGTGATTTATATCAGCTGTGGTTATGAGCACACTGCAGTGCTTACCAAGGTAATTCAAAACGTGCTTCTACTCTTTAGTCATTGGAGAAATAGTAAAATGATATGTGTGTGTTTGTGGTTGAAAACAAGTGATCTTAGTCTGTCCAGGTTACTGTAACAAAGCCCCATCATATAGACATGCTTCTCACAGCTCTAGAAGCCGGGGTGTTCAAGATCAAGGTACCAGCAGACTTACATATAGTGAAGGGTAACATTCTGACTCCTAGGTGATAGTTGCTGTGTTCTCATGTGGAAGGGGTCAGAGTGTTCTCTCTTAAGTCTTCTTTTATAGAGAGAATAATTTCATTGATGAAGGATTTATCCTCATGACTGAATCATCTACCAAAGGCCCCATTCTACCTCCCTAACAGCACTATGTTAGAAATTAGGTTTTGTTTTAAAGATTTATTTTGTGGATATGATGTTTTGTCTGCATGGATGTCTGAATGCCACACACAGTGTTCATGGAGGTCAAAAGCGGGGCCAGATTCTCTGGAACTGACATTACAGACAGTTGCTAGGCTCCTTGTGGGTTGTAGGAACAGACCTTAGTTTTTCTGCAGGAGCAGTAAGTGTCCTTAACTACTGAGCCATCTCTCTAGCTCCTGGAAATTAGGATTTTAAATTTATAAGTTTAAAAACACAGTGTTCAAATAAGACATAAGATGAATTTCAATATCAAAAACCTATTTAATCTACAAATGTCTAAAGTAGAAAACTGAACTAAATATAAATCAAGAAATATTTCAAGATACTGTAGTAGAAGCTAATATAGGAGCTAATCTTTTAGGTCATTATTCACTGTCAATGTAGGTCTACAGAAAAATTTGCTTTTACCATTTTCAATAATCCACTCCGCAGACAAGAACACACTTGGTTACGTGCCTTTTTTATACAACAACAAGCCAGTTTTGTTAGTGTTTTCCTCTACCTCTTGTCCTGGCTGTCCAGTGTATTCCAGCGAGTCAGATTCCTCTCATCATCATAAGGAACAGACTTGAAAATGATTTCTGTAATTTAAATGCTGGTTTTAAAATTGCATTCTACAGGACCAAGTAGAGTATCAATGGTAGAATGCTTGTCTTGTTGGACTTGATTTTCGGTGCCCGAAAAAGAGTTGATACACCAAGTGATTTTTAAATTTCATCATTATTATTAACTACTAGTATTTTCAATAAATAAAAGGAAGGATCTACCACTTAGCTACATTCCTAGTTCATCAAATTGTTTTTATTATTTTTAGTATTTGTTTTAAAACCATGACTTAAGTTAGTAAACCTCAACTGTTTGAATTATATTAATCTTAGTCGACAAGAGAACGCTAGCAGTGTGTGTGTGTGTGTGTGTGTGTGTGTGTGTGTATACATGAGTGCAAGTACAATAGGATTCAGATTCTCAGGAGCTAGAGTTACAGGTGATGGTGAGCTGTCTGACATGGATGGTAGGAATCAAACTCTGGTCCTCTGTTAGAGCAGTACATCCTTCTGAGTTCTCAGCCATCTTTCTAGCCCCTCTCTTAGAAATTTTAAGTGTGTAATATACTTTTAACTTCTTCAAAGTGCATAATTTTAAAGGAAATTCCATAAATAAACTTATAAATAATTTTTGAAATAATAAAAATAAATAATTTTGGAATAATTTTTGGAAATTTGTGAATAAGTAAATATAAACAATTTTGGAATACATTATGGAAATTTATTAGTCAATTTATAAAATATACAAACCAGTTTCAAATATGGCTTTCATCTTGTGATAGTTATATTTTAAAACCTGAAATTAACCTAATTTCTTATTTTTAAAAAGGATGGGCAAGTGTTTACATTTGGAGACAATAGCTCTGGGCAGCTACAGAACAACCCCAGGGGTAAGAGAAGAGGCCCACAACTCGTGGAAGGAATCAAGGGCCAAGTTTCAAAGATAGAGTGTGGAAGGTATTGAATCTTTTTTAAACGTCTGAATAGAAAGTATTATTCCTATTACTTATAAGCCAAAAGACATGTGGCTGTACTTTTAATAAAGCATTTTTCTTGAAAATTTACTTCTTTCAAATATATTTTAATTCAAAATTCTCATTTCTATTAATAATCATGTAACGGGTAATTATTAGAAGTTTAGTACTATAGAGCACCTTCCTATGAGTAGAGGGTAGGAGAGAGTTAAATATTAAAGGTGGTAGTGTTTGTCATCTTAAGTAGATTAATCTCATACATACAGAACATGCTGACTATTTGCATATATTCAGGGTTTTGGATAACCTAATTATAAAGGCAGTTTGAGCATTTCTGTATCTAACCCAGTACGTTAAAAAATAAAATGCTTGAATTTAGAACACATGAACTAGAACATGGGACTCAGAAATAAATTTACACGGATACAGCTACCTAGCACTTGAACAAATGTTGCTAGTAAAACTGGATATCCACCTGAATAAAAATAAAATTAAAGTTATATCTCTCACCCTGCACAAAAAATTAATTCAAAGTTAGTCTGGAAGGTAACCCAGTGACTAAAGTGATTGAAGCACAAGCATGAAGACCACAGATCGTATCCCCAGAACACATGTAAATGCAGGGGGTGTAATGGCAGTCCACCTGTAATCCCAGCCTTGGAAGGCAAAGACAAGGCATCCCCAAGAGACTAGTCATATCAGCAGTCTTTGACTGGGTTTATTAATAGATGCCCACTTTAATGAATAAGGAATAAAAGTGATGGAGGAAGAGTCCCAACTTCAGCCTATGGCCCCCACCAGTACACACACACATATTTGCCCACACTCATGTGGGCATACCTACGCATGAACACCAGATGTATACAGACACAGGAAAAAGAAAAACAGCAAGGTCAACTCAAGTGGATTCCAGACCTTAATTTGAAACCTGAAACCCTGAAAATGCTACAGGGAGACAAGAGTAAAATCCTTCAAGATGCAGGCATGGTCGAACTTTCTGAGTGGGTCTCTGGTAGATCAGAAGTAGCTCCAAGCATTAACAAATTGAATTGGGTAACAGTTGAGAGCTTGCTTATGCAAAGCAAGGGAATCTACTGGCAGAGTGAACAGACAGCCTACTGAATGGGAGAAAATCCTTGCCAGCTACTTCAGATAGAGGGCTAAGATCTAGAACATAGAAGCAAACTCAGTCTGCTAATAAACAGGCCATGAATTGAGCACATGATTCTCACAATAGGCAGCACAAATGACCTGTAAGCATTTTTAGACATGTTTAACATCTGTAGCCTTTGAAATTCCACTCACCCCTGTCGGACCGTCTGTTACCAAGGAAAAATGCACAAGGAATCTTGGTGTGGGTGGAAAAAATAAACAACATCCAGTGCTGGTGGGAGTGTAAACTGGTGCAGTCACCATGGAAACCAGTACAGAGATTTCCCAAACAATTAAAAGTAGAACTACCATTTGACCCAGCTGTAGCACTCTTGGGCACGCGCCCAAAGGACTCATATCTTACCACAAATACTTGCACACTATTCACAAAAGCAGGGAAATAGTACAATAGGTAATGAAAATGTGATACACATGTACAATGGGGTTTTCTTCAGCTATCCAGAGAAATGGAATATGAAATTTTCAGGAAAATGAATAGATCTGGAAATTACTATATTAAGAGAGGTGACTCAGTCACAGACAAGCACGAATTCTTTTTCATGCAGATCTTAGCGTTACCGTTTGTCTATATTCATAAGTGTGGGTGAAAGCGTGATAGGTCATGAAACAATAAAGGGGACCAAAAAAAGGGAGAAAAGACGTGTTGAGAAAGGAGGGCAATGGAGCACATGTGACATGAAGACAGAAAGGATGCTACAGGGCTGGGAGGGGTGGGAGGAGGGACACAGAGGGATGAGGACAAATATGGCCAAGAGGATCAAACAAAAAAGGACACAACAAAAATGTTTGAGGGTATCATGATACAGCCTAATATTTTGCATGCTAAGTTTAAAAAATCAAGAATTAATACATAAAACACACAATATATAGCTAAGATGGTAGAGTGCTTGCCAGTAGACTAAGGGTCTGAGAAAATGCTGAAGGAATATCCCAGACTCAAATAGTGTGCAAAAGCAAAGAGCATTTATCTGCAGAAGCCAGCATACGAGGGGACAGCCACATGTACAAAATGGCAACCATGAACAAAGGCACGCAGGTCCTTTTAAGCAGTTAGGGGAGGTTCAGGAGCAGTTGGTCATCTCAAACATAATTGCTTAAGCAAGCAGCAGTTACATTAGTATACTTTTCATTGACTGAAGGTTAGTCTTACCATTTTTTAAAAATATTTTTATTTTAATTAGAAAGAAGATTGTTTTACATGTAAATCCCAGGTCCCTCTCCTTCCCCTCCTCGAAGACCCCCCTTCCCAACTAACACCCTACCTATCCCATACCCTTTCTGCTACCAGGGAGGGTGAGGCCTTCCTTAAGGGGTCTTCACAGTCTGTCATATCCTTTGGGATAGAGCCTAGGCCCACCCCCTTGTGTCTAGGCACAGGGACTATCCCTCCATGTGGGATGGGCTCCCAACGTCCATTCCTGTGGTAGGGATAAGTACTGATGAGCAAAGGGGTCCATACCAGGGCTGGTGAAACCCACAGAAACAGCTGACCTGAACAAGGGAGAGCTCTTGGTCCTCAGACTGATCACTGGGAAACCTTTGCTCATCAGTCCTCCTTCTCTGCAACTGGATTTCAGTTCAGTTCAAGGTTTAGCTGTGGGCGTTTGCTTCTACTTCCAACAACTGCTGGATGAAGGTTCTAGGGTGGCATAAAAGACAGCCATCAATCTCATTATCAGGAGCAGGCATTTAAGGTAGCCTCTCCTCTGTTGCTTAGATTGTTAGTTGGTGTCATCTTTGTAGCTCTCCAGACATTTCCCTAGTGCCTGATTTTTCTTTAAACCTACAATCTCTCCCTCTATTATCGTATCTCTTATCTTAGCTCAAGCTTGGGCAAGTCAGGACATGACTCAGAAGGGGCTGCAGGAATTGTCCTTGAGCCATTGTGGGGCTGACTAAGGCCTGTAGGTCTCTTTCCCTCATCTCAGAATGCAAGGGTATTGTGGATAAATGGCCCTTTTTTTTGTGAGAGACATCTTTTTTGTACCTCTCAGAGATCTGAAATCTAAATTCAATTGTGAGAGTGGGCAAGTTTAACCCCTTCATTAGCACTCACCAAGTCCTGGAGTGGGTCCTGAGAATCACACAGTCTAGGTGTGGCGGCAGTGGTACCAGGTGTGGCTGTGATAACTAAAGAGATAAGGCAGAAGGATCAGAAAGTGAAGATTATCCTGTGCTACATGGAGAGATCGTTGCAAGCCTCCATTTAAAAACAAACAAAAAAAGCCACACTATAGAAAGCATAGTAAATCCCCATTGCTAATACTAATTTTAATATTACTGCTAAGTTAATGACATAGTTTAGTGACATCACCTAATTTGCTGCAGCACTAACACTGTAATGAGACAGCTGGCTTCGTGGTGGTGAAGGTAAATCTGTCATTTTGTTTTACCTAGAAATCATGAGAGTCTGGTTCTTTGGAATATCATATTATCACTGTATTGTATTTTATGTTGTAGTTATCACACCATTGCATATGTCTATACCACTGGCCAGGTGGTATCTTTAGGCCATGGACCACGCCCCACAAGCAACCCAACTCATCAGAAGGCCCCAGCAGAGAGCTCTGACATCATTTGCCTGCTCTCTGCAGCAGGTATGAGTGTTCCCACAAGCTCATGGCTGATTGACTGAAGGAGACAGCATTCAGCCTTCTTTCACAGGATCCCGCTGAACTGTGCTTATGGTTCTTAGTTCTTTTATTTTAAATTACTGCATTTTTCCCCTAGAGTAATGGGTAATCATTTCTAAAAACTTAACCAATACAAAAGAATACATCAAGTTGATTACTTAATTATCTTAACAGTGTGTTTGATATATTTAAGCACTCATCTAAGTATGTCAACCCGGATTCATTGTGAAAGTGCCTAGACAATTAAAACTTTTTTTGAGTGAATAAAAAACATTTGATGTGGTCAAAATTAAATTCTTGTGCTATTTGTAATAAAAAATTAGAGTATAAATTTTCAACAAATTAATAACTTTGACTTAGCTATGTATAGATTTATTTTTTCCAGGTAAAACTCTAAACATGTATATTTTACCTTTTTTAGACCTCGTGGATGTTAAAGTCAAAGACATTTTTGCTGGAGCATATGCCAACTTTGCAACAACTCATCGGGTATCAGTAATGTGCTATTTCTTTCCAAACTTATTTTTTTTCCTCTAGATTTCAGGAATTCTTTCTTTTTCTGCTGCTGGGGAAGCAAACCCAGAGCCTTGTACTTGCTAGGCAAGCATTCTCCCCTGAGCCATAACCAACCTTTCCCTAAATCTCAGGCTAGTGTTTGAGATGGTGTATTTTTCATGTTTTCAGATTCCTTACTAAATTAATGTGTTCCTCTGTTAGAATGGTTTTGAACATTAGAATGCTGGGCAATTTAACAACACCTTGTCCCAAAAAGTGAACAGAGGACTTGGATGTGGTTCCATGGGAGAATACTTGCCCAGCACACCAAAAGCCCTAGATTCGATCCCAAAGTAGGGACACCAGGACATGCTTGGGGGCTGTGGGAGGGGGAGAGGCTTGGGACAAAGGAAGAGAGGGTTGATGGGACGGGGAGCTGCCTGAAAGGGGGAAAGAAGAACAAAGTCAGGCTGTGGGATAATGTTGGAATGTAGCAGAGGAAGAAAGAAGACATGAAAGAATGGTTTCTGACATGGAATCTAGGAGGTGGCTTATCCACAGAAGCAACAGCACATAAAAGTCAAGTCAGAGGCACACCCAGTTTAATTTTCCTTTGGGAAGGGAAGATTGTGTTGTTTTAACAGAGAGCAAGAAGCCTGCCTCGGGTAGGGTCACAACAAGAGGAGAGGAAGTTTTGTGGCAACTGAGATGTTTTGTCATAAAAGTTAATTAGAAGATCACAGGAGGGTTTCTCATGATTCACTGAAAGAGTGGCAGAAGAATGTCCCAGAGCAGGAGGGAGAAAATAGAGTCTAGTGTAGCATCTGTTTCTCTGTGGCTGTGATATAACACAGTGACTGAAAGCAAACAGGAAATACGAAGGGTTGAATAGCCTTACAGCTTACACTCCATCGAGAGGAGAAGTCAGGGAAGGAACTCAAGGCAGAACCTCAGGAACAGGAACTGAAGTAGAGAACATGGAGGCACACTGCTTGCCTTTCTTATCCATCCCAGGCTCACATGCTTGGGTACCACCCACAGCAGGCTGGGCCCCCCCACATCAATTATTAATCAAAAAATGCTCTAGAGACAAAAAAAAGTACAGGCCAATCTGATAGAATCAATTCAACTGAGAGTACCTACGCTTTATGTCAAGTTGACAAAAACTATGGTAAGTGCAGAATTGAGATGTCTGAGCAGAGATGTAGACCATTGTGACTGAAGGTTGGGGGTTAGCTGGTGATTCGTTATTGCTGATGATTAAGGTTAATGTGAGTGCCAGAGAAGCAGGGGGTAAATGAGTCAAGACTAAAGAAGGTGTGCAATGTTATCTCAGAGAGAGGGAGAGAGAAAAGGAGGGAAAAGGAAGGGAGGGAAGAAGGAGAGAGGGAGGAGGGGAGGGAGGGAAGAAGGGAGAGAGAAAGAGAGAGAGCGACTGTCTTTGGAAATGTCCATTTGAAATTTGTGGTCATAGACTGTGTGTCCTTGGTCAACACCCTGTGATGTTGTCTTCAGTGGTGTTAGACATTTGGAAATGACTTTGGAGTAATCGGACTGGAACATAATGGTAGATGGAATTTTGCAGTGCAATAAGTGAAGCATGAAGGGCTTGTGAGAGTGACTAGAGCAGCGAAGCATAGGAGCTAAGCTAGTTGAAGAAGAGTGAGATACTCATGGAGTCCGAGATCTGAGTACACAAAAGAATGCTGCACCGGGGGCTTCACTCTAAAAATGAATCAAGAAAACGATGTGTGATGGTCATAAGGACTGTTCTGAACTGACCCTTAAAATGGAGCAATTGTTGATGATCAAATCCAGTTTATGACCTAGAAATAAAGTGCTGTGTTTCAAGTAAGTGTGATTTTTGCAGCCTAACAATCATTTGAGGTGTCTGCAAACCTTTTAGATTGGCCCATTGACAGTGATTACTACTGGTATCTAGTGGGGAGGGGCTAGGAACAGTAAGAATTAAATATCGTATTATGTATAGGATCCTTCACAACAAAGAATTATCTAATCCCAGGTGTCGATCATTTTCAGTTTAGAAACCTTATCTAGGTCATGAATAGCTAAAACAAGAAGAGACAGGAATAGAGATAAGGTTGGGAACTGAGATACTGGAGTAAAGATAGATTGCTTTCATCAACTTTGAAGCTGTCAAGAATGAAGACAAGAAGCATGATGACAGAAGCAGTGATGAACACACAGGTGACGTGTGCTTATTAAGTTTTCAAGGAAGCGGGGGCAGAGGGCGTAGTCTGATGTCATGTACACAGAGAAGCTAAAGACTTTGAATAAATGGCACGTGTACTGAGATCCTTGGATGTAAGAGAAAATAAATCTTGCTATTGATAAACTGCAGAGGCACCAGGATTCAGATCAAGGAGCTCAGGTAGGGTGTAGAGGTGCAGATCAGTGACACCTCTGCTTGTGTGAACAAGGCCCTGGCTCAGACACCATTACCAGGAAGCAGGGCAGAGGACTTGCAGCATAGTGGTACACATATTTTTCAAGAGGATTTTATTTGATTCTTGAAAAGAAGTGATATAGAATTTTGCCAGTCATGTCAAGTTCAGTAGAGATGGAGGTATACTTTACAGCAAAGCATTAATGCCTCTCTCTTCTCTTCGTCTTTCATACAAGCTCCCACTGTGTATCTAGTCTGATCTAGAACTAGGATCCTCTTACAACAGCCTCCTGAGTGTATATCACATCACCAAGTACCCAGTGTTCAAGGGGGCTGAGTAGGTGAGATAGGAAGATCTCGTTTCAGGCCAGTCTTGACTGTATAGTGAGGACCTATCTCAAATTACATATAAGATGCCTATATGTGCTGTATGCTACCATTTAAAACACATTGCCTGCAGTATTCTGTGGCATTAATTGCAATCATAATGTCATCAACTATTGTCATTACCTCTCAAACCTTGTAATCACCCCAAACAGATACCTGATGTCTATTAAACAATAATTCCTCACTCTCCATCTCCTCAGTCCTAGGTAGTATCTGCTTTCTTTCTGTAAGTTGTCATATGGACATATTTTATACAAGTGGAATCTTATAATGTCTTCTGGTTTTATTTGATTTATTTCACTTAGCATATTTTAGTATACAGCCATCTTATATTAGTATATCAATTTCTTCAGTGCTAAATAATATTTCATTACATATTATATATGTATCATATTGAAAATGTATTCACCTGTTGATTGACATGTGTTATTTCCGTCTTGTGGCCATGTGAATAATGGTAAGATGAATTTTGATATAAAACCACCCATTTCGTCTCGATTTTCTATTTTTCTTGTGTTATTACACTTTCTAAAATGCAGACCAAGTGAAATGACCCAAGTCAGAAAGCCAAATGTTCAGGCTAATCTGATGCCAAAGCTCAACCCACCAAACACATCCCAAGAAGGCAGAACTTATGTGTGCCAGGTGTTTTATTGATTGTTACTCAATAATTGTGCATTTCCTGGTCATTTTCATCTTTATTTTCTTTCTTGAAGCATGCTAGGTCCAAGAGTGTTTCCATGAAAATCCTGCCAGAAATTAGCCGAATCAACCAGTCGCTAGCAAAGAAATGGATAGCAGCAAAAATAAATAAGGAGCTTGCAGAAGCCAAAAGGTAACCCAGCTTGATGACTTACAATCACTTCCATGGTTTTTCAAATGCTGATCACATTGTTCTAGCTGTAAGAAGGAAGGTTTAGCTTTGCTGTGACAGAATGATTCTCTTTTACTATCTTTTGGTTGGATTGGTTGTTGATGTGCATAATGATTAATCGTTTATTTACTATACACAAGAGCTACAAGGAGAATGTATACCCCACACACCTTTCTAAGTAAGGCAGATGTAGTAAAGAATTAATGTAAGTTGTATTGCTTTCTGGTCTTCATAGTTGACTCACTAGCATTTCAGAATTTAGGTCTTCAGAGTGATGGACTTTATTCAAATGCCTGGAAAATCAACTATGAAGAGTTTTGGTGAGACTCAGTAGTAACAACCACAAGTAGGATACTCATAATCTGGGTATTCATAATGAATCTAGAGCTCCATTTTTTACTCAGACATAAGATAAAGAAGGATTTAGGTATAAGTACTAGCTGTAAGTACTACCCAACACATTTGTATATGACAGTGGTTCTCCACCTTCCTGCAACCCTTTGATACAGTTCCTCATTGTGTAGTGATCCCCAACCATAAAATTATTTTCTTTGCTACACCATAGCTGAAATATGCTACTATTATAATTCATAATGTAAATATCTTATATTTCCAATAGTCTTAGGTGACCCCCGTGAAAGGGTCATTCAACCCCAAAGGGGTCATGAGCCACGGGTTGAAGACCAAGTATATGACAATATTACCTCACAATGTCAGAAGATTGGACACTGTCCTGATGGGGGAAGTGCTTGTGTGTATGTGTTTGTCTTACTGGATGACAAATAAAATATTGTTTGGCCAATGAGACAGCAAGTAGATGGGAATAGGAGTCAAAGAGGATTCTGGGAAATGTAGTAGAGAAGTGGTGATCTAGGCAGGAAGTGACATAGCAGGGAGACTTATATTTAAGGAAGGACAACCAGGAAGTACCCCCCTTTTTTCCCCTTGACTCCTGGTCCAGCAGTGATGTGATCCACCAGCAAGGGAGGACACTAATGGAAGGTGTCCGATAAGATAAGTCTTATAAAATATATAGATTTATGATAATTAAGACTGAGCTAACAGATAAGAATCCTAGTCATTGGCCAAGCAGCATTTGTACTTAATAGAAGTCTGTGTATTATTTTGTTCATCCACGAGGCAGGCAGAACTCGGGCAGCTGACGGAGACTGCCCACGTGGCGGTAGGGCTCGGGCAGCTTTTGGTGGAAAGATTTATCATAACACTGTCCGGTTTTGAATTTGCCTTTGTTATTATATTTGCAGGGAAATCAACTTAATATTTTCATCCTCTGCTTGTTTGACTGCAAGCTTTTTGAAGAAAAGGTAAAACTTCAATGAGAATTATCTTAATTTCAGATTCTGGGGGGGTGTACTTAAAATGAAAATTATAGAACCAGGCTGAGTGTGAATTTTGTCAGTACAGAGAGTCCAACACAAAGAATTCTCTGGTTGATAAAGGATTCTTTCATTTTATAAACTAACTCCTTCATCTTCTTTCCTCTGTTGTCTTGTTAGAGGAAATGATCTTTTATTTGGGCTATTTATATCTACAGCTGGTCAAATATGCCTGATATTGCTTTACTATTTAAAAACCAGGAATTAGTTTTATAGTTCCTGCTGAGTGGGATCAATAAAGAAATGAGATCGTATTCATTTGTTTTTCACATATCAGTACAGGCAAAATCTAATATCTTCCTTACTTGGTTTTAACAGTAGATCTGATTCTAAGGGTTGGTTAGTTAATTTGTTTTGAATTTTTAAGACAGACTTAGCAGTACACACGGTACTCATGTAGTCCAGCTGACCTTGACACTGCTGCTTTGTCTGTTGCTATTGTGTAAGTTGTTCTACTGTTTCTTCCTGTAGATAGGTCTTGTGCTTCTCTTGTGAACTTGCTTCAAGTTAACTCATGGGTTCAAAGATGATAAAGTACACATTGTGTCAACACCCCCTGGTGACACTGTCTTCACCCGTGCTCATTGATCCTACAAGCATAGCAATTCTTTGATTCTTTTTTTCTTCCTTTGAGTGTGTCTTACTTAGGGTTACTATTGTTGTGATGAAACAACATGACCAAAAGCAACGTAGGGAAGAAAGGATTTGTATGGCTTATGTTTCCAAATTATTGTTTGTCATTGAAGGAAGTCAGGACAGGAACTCACACAGAGAAGGAATCTGGAGGCAGGAGCTGATGCAGAAGCCATGGAGTAGTTTGGTCTACTGGTTTTCTCCCGATGGCTTGCTCAACCTGCTTCCTCATAGAACCCAGGACCATCAGCACAGAAGTGGCCCTCCCCCATCAATCATTAATTAAGAAAGTGCTCTACAAGCTTTCCTGTAGCCTGATCTTATTGAAGCATTTTCTCAATTGGAGCTCCCTTATCTCTGACTACTCTAGCTTGTGTCAAGTTGATATAAAAGTAGCCTGGGCAGTGTGTGTGTGTGTGTGTGTGTGTGTGTGTTGTGTGTGTGTGTGTGTGTGTGTGATAGAGAGAGAGAGAGAGAGAGAGAGAGAGAGAGAGAGAGAGAGAGAGATTCTTGTGCATATACAGGTAGAAACTAGAGAAGGATGTTCTATGTCTTCTACTGCTGTGCAGTGTCTATTTTATTTTACATTTTAAAGAGAAGCCACCATTACATCTAGATGATAAGAGCCTGCTGCTGAAGACCACATGTCTTGGTTGCATGATATTGAGAAATCAAGTTGGAACTGAGCTATAAGATTCCTCCCAGCTGGCTAATTTCATAGTCTCAGAAGGACAATGTAGGCTTTTAGGAAAGAAAAGATAACCAACGGTCTTACCCAGCTGTGAACCCTAAAGCTCTAATACCAGTCTGCTTTGCAGCATATGCCCATTTGTGCAGTAGAGCACTACTGTTAAGGCATAACCAGCTGCTCTCTTAATTGGATTTGAGACCCACTCCATAGAAGCAAATCCACGTGTAGTATTGTAAATATGGTCATAAACATATGCTTGGGAAAATCACAGACCCTATGGAGGAACTAAAACTGTTGTTTAGCTAATGTGGAATTGCATCAAACTGCTCTCTGAATATTTACAATTGTATTCAGAAACAAACTATTGTCAGCCTTAACAAAAGAAGGCTGGTTTTGTTTTGTTTCAGTAAATGGTGGTAAATGCAGAAACTCATGGCTGCATAAAGTCCCGAGAATAAGTGATAGATTAATGCTCAGTCTTAAATAAGATATTCATGCCATTCCCTCTAAAGTTCAGGGAACATTGCACAAAGTGGTGCAGAAAAGAATGTCCAAAGGTAAAAAGGTCTGGAAAATGCAATGTTCTGGACAAGACACAGCCATTAAAACCACAAACTCCACCGAGCTGTGGATGCCTGACTGGGTCTTGATGATGGAATTTTCTGTTCCTCTTGGTCCTGCAGCCATTTAGTTCCAAATAAACACACAGAGGCTTATATTAATTATAAACTATTTGGCCAATGGCTTAGACTTCTTATTGACTAGTTATCTCTTAATTATTAATCTGTTTCTATTAAACTAGGTATTTCCATGAGGCTGTGGCTTACCCATAATATTCTAGCATGTTACTCCTTGGGTAGCTACATGGCTTCTCTCTGGCAGCTCCTCTCTCTTTCCTTTTCCCAGTATTCTCCTAGTCTGGTAGTCCTGCCTATACTCTCTGCCTGGCTACTGGCCAATCAGCATTATTCATCACCAATAAGATAAACATATATTCACAGTGTACAGAAGGCCATCCCCCATCAGGGTCTAGAAGAGAATGGGCCCATCAACACTCAGGCATGGAAAGAGGACAGACTCCAAAAGCTCTGCCCCTTACTAATGAACTATTTGTTGCAGATTGATTCAGGGACAGTGGGTGTCAGTGTCTTCACCTACAACCCCTTGGATGGCTCTATCAGGATAGTTGTGATGAATAGTTGTAATCCTATACCCATTCTGCCATATCTTTTCCATTCTAACCTTCCAGTTTGGAAGGGAAATATTCTCTGGGACACGATGTCCCCTTTCTTCTTTATGCTAGCCTCAGACTCCCCTATTTAATATAGGGGAATCTTCTATAAGCATAGTTTAGGAGTTAAGGCCATACCAGCTTGAAATGTGCCAAATTGGTACATTGATAATTTCCAGCTGACATCACCTAAGGCATGATGTAACAGATTGTTCTTTGGGCCACCAGCTCACAAAAAACAACAGAGACTTATTAATTATGAAAGCTCGGCTTATAGTTTAATCTTGTCCCACTAGCTCCTAGAACTTAATTTAACCCATTTATATTAATCTATGTTTTGCCTCATGGATTTTTACTTCTCTTCCATCTTTCACGTCCTGTTTTCTCTCCATGTCCTCAGGTGTCTCTCTCATGCACCTAGATTCCTCCTCCTACTTCCTCTCTCTCTGCCTGGAAGTCCCACCCATACTTCCTACCTAGCTATTGTCTGTTAAGCTTTTTGTTACACCAATCACAGAAATACAACGTCACACAGTACACAAATATCCCACAACAGCATGATAACTACTGAACAGATTATCTGGCCAAGTTTTTTTCTACATGCAGCAAACAATAAAAATGTAAGGGCCAAGGGAAAGATGTCACCCTATATCAAAGAGAGAAAGTAGAACAGTAAGTGGAGTTGTAAGGAATCCACATGGCTATTCACTGGAGTAACCCTTATAGCTAGACGCACACACACACACACACACACACACACACACACACACACACACACACACACACACACACACACACACACATAAACATACACACATAAACACACATACACTCCTCCTCACATCCAAAGGAATCTATTCACCCATTTATCTTATCATTCCTTCACAAATATGTTGTTCTTTGTCTAAAAAATATAAAGTTTCATGCTTTTGTCATTTATTTTGGACTCATCCCTATGTACATATAATTTTAATAAAACGTGTATGCCTTTCTCTTGATACTCTTTGTTATACTGAGTTCTTAGACCCATCAGAAAAGTCACACAGGTCCAGGAGCAAGGTAGAAAGTGACCTCTTCTTCTTTTACAACACTGTCTTTTTAAAGAAGAATCATGTCCATGACCACTTTCTGGGAGTTTTAAATTTCCAGGCAAATGTTGCAAAGGAGAAAGAATTTTGGAGGAAAATTTACAGTTAGAACTTGTCCACATATTCTAATACCACTATTGATACTTAATTCAGCAAGTACAAAATATTTATTATTATTATTATTATTATTATTATTATTATTATTATTATTATTATTTAAGCTATTGGGCTTGCTGGATGCTGGTCACAAAAATATGGCCAAATCAAGCTGCTACCTAGACAATATCTGGGCAGTGTTTCATTGTAGAAAGGAGCAGGGCTGGGAAGAATTGAGTAAGTATGCAAGGAATGTGGTGGAAATAGCAAGGGCAGGGCTTTGAGGTAAGAGATTCTGAGACTCCCACTGCACAAACTATGTGTTCATGTTTTCCATTAATGAGTTAAGGCATCTTTCAAGAAGTTTCTAAAATGAGCCATCAAACCTCTGTGCTGACAAGGTCTCAGGGAATAGTTAAACCACTATTATTGCATCGCTCCACCTCTAATGTAACCATGGAAATATAAAGCTTAGTGGTGAGTAGGCATATTGGTGCATACCTGAGCTGAGGCAGGAAGATCACAAGTTCAAGATCAGCCTGGTCATAGTGAGACTTTGTTTCAGCAAGTAATAAATATCCAAGTAAATAAGGAAATAAATAATCAGAAATGGCCTTATGTGGAGAGGATGCAAGCCCAGTCTGTGGAATAGACTATCGGGGTTGAAGGCTTCTTAGATTTAGCATATAAAATCTTGCTAGAGTTCGGGTTGTAACTTTGTGGCAGAGTATGGTTTGCCATGTATAAGGCCCTAAGTCAAAAGTCCTGGGCTCAATCCTAGTATCATAAAATAAAGTAAATGAAAAAAATCAAATCCTGCTAAAATTGCAGCCCATACTCGATGTTGCTTACATAGAGATAACAAGTTGTTTATTCCTCTTTAACAAGAACACACCTACACATTTCTGTGTCACTATAGTCTATTAGTTTCAAAAGAGGCAACCTTTTAATGAAGTTAATATTTTGTGCATAGCAAGATTAACAAAACAGATAATATCATCTGGAACTTTAAAATATTCTTTTTTCATCTGTTTGTCTGTTTTTAAAATGTATTGTGTTTATAGAGATACAAGAGAGGAGAATTTCGTTGACGTGGACTTAACAATGGCAAGGAATGTCTTCAAGAAGTTAACAGCAGTGAAATGGATTTCTCCCTTGGTAACAGCCACTATTTATTTGGCTTACTTGAGATACAGCACAATCGCATTTCTTTATAGGAATAATATAATAGTAGCTCAGTTTTGGCGGGAGGTAGGAGGCAAGGACCTATGGATAGGGCTGAGTAGGGGACTAGTCTCCATTATGAAGGTGCTATAGTTCAGACATTGTGATGGCTTGTGGCATTTATTTCTTTTTAAACCATTAAATGCACTCTGAATGTAGTCGTTTTGTTTTCAACGTACGGAAAGTAATACTGAGACATAAAGTTTCTATCTAGCAATGCATATAAAAAGAATGGTGGTTTAGGAAGCAGGATATCCTCTGGTAAGTGGTTTAAAAAGACAAATGTCTGTTTTGGGATGGATCTTAAGTGTGTTTCTGCTACTGATTCAGCCCTTCTTTTCTTTGGGTAACAGTTTTTTAAAAACCTATGATTTTAGTCTTTAAAGTCTGTGGTTCTGGGTTGTGTAGAAAGGAAACTACAAATTTAGGTTGTGAGTACAGGAAGCTGCAAATTAACAATAGACAGCTATCAGGATGTCTTGGTACATTGGGGACACCACAACATCATGTAGTATGCGATGTGGGTGTCTTATAAACACAGGACATTGACTTTTTATAGCTTTGGAGCTGGGATATTTGGAAGCTCTAAGATTAAGCTGCCAAAACAACCAGTATCTGATAAGGGAGAAATTGATAGAAGACTCTATCTTTGTGTTTTCATGTAGTAGAAGGAAGGGGCTACTAAAGTCCACAGAGATTATCATTCATTTGCTCCCCAGCACCCCATAAAAACAGGGCATGGTAAAACACATCTGTAATTCTAGCACTTTGAAAACAGGAAAATCAAAGAATTTAAGGTCAATGTCAGCTATGTAACAAGTTTAAGGCTAGCCTGGGCTACTTGAGGTCCTGTCTCCAAAATAAAACAAAATAATTAAAATGTAAGAATTCTCGTAGATATGAAGACAACAAACTGTAAATGTAGTAAGAAAACATTCAGAATTCCACCCTTTATTGTTGCATATACCGTGTTATTTAGCACTATGTCATGTATAGGCAGACACTATAGTTAAAGATGTAAAGATCCAGCCGGGCATTGTTGTCTCACGCCTTTAATCCCAGCACTCGGGAGGCCGAGGCAGGTGGATCTCTGTTCGAGGCCAGCCTGGGTCTCCAGATCGAGTGCCAGGATAGGCTCCAAAGCGACACAGAGAAACCCTGTCTCGAAAAACAAAAACAAAAACAACAGAAAAAGATGTGAAGATCCACTAGATGGACAGTTTTAGTGCTAGCTGCCTGGCAGAGGACTTCTGGACCTCAAGGACCCAATCCAGTGAAGATCTAATCCTCTCACTGAAGTCCAGTTGGGGGGGGGAGGCAATTCCACACAGGTTTTTTTTTTTTCCCTCTTAACTTGGGCTCCATTCCAATATCTCAGGACCCTAAAGCTATAAAATCCGTTATTTGATCTCCTGGGTTTGGTCACATGAGAGGCCATAGAGGCCAAACGTAAAAGGGTTTCATATCACCGTCACATTCAAAAGCTAGGACTCACTCACTCACAAGGCTCCACTCAACTTCGGGGGCCACCGAGAAGTGCCATCCACTGTGACACTACAAGGACAATGAAAGAAGTTTGCAAGGTGAACACAGGACACAATGGTTCTCTTCCAGGCTGATTTTAGGCCAGATGGATGTGGCTTTGAACTATATTAAATTGAGTGACTTTCTTTCTCTATTGTCTTTTGATCAAGTCTCTTTCTTTACGTTGTACTCAATAAATATTCAAACAAGCATAAAGATGACCATACAGACAGGCATAGTGTCTCCTGACTGTAATCCTAGCACTTGAGAGGCTGGGGCAAGGTGCTCAAGGACTCAAGAATTCCAGACCACCCTGAGGTATACAGAAAGACACATTAGTTTTCCAAATAACATTTGTTTCAAAAAGAAAATACAAACCACCAAACCTCCAATTTTTCCTGCTGTTGTATTTTATGTCTGTTGTATCTTAAAAGTCTATCCCTGAATGGAGTAAGTAATAACTCAAAGCTATGTTGGCAATGAAAAAAACAATGACAAAAGTGGATTTTGTATGTGTCCGTGTGTGAGAAAGTAGCAGCAGTTTCTTTTTCTCTGTTTGAGACATGGTCTCTGTATCACAGACTGACTCTATCTCTTTAGGGTGGCCTTGAATTTCTAACCATTTTTCCTTATCTGAGTGTTGTACAACCATACCTGATTGATGTGGTACTATGGGTCAAAGTCAGGGCTTCCTGCACACTAGGCAAGCCACACCCTCACCCAAATGGGTTTTGAATTTTCGAGCTCAAGTGATTCCCCATCTCAGCCTTCTGAGTAATGGACTCCACATAGGTGCCCCTGCGACCCGCTTACAGAATTGTTTCTGGGGGACTATTCACTGTGTATATCCATTTACATGTGATTCCACTTTATTTCCTTAATGTACCCTAAAATAAAATGGACAGATGACTCAAATGAGTTCTACCTCAGAGAAATGTGGAATGTTAAAGGGTTGATGGCATTTCATCAAAAAGCTTCAGAAGGATTTAAATGGACTTCCTAATTAGAAGTTAGTGGAATGAAACCTGCAGTCATAATTTGTACTCAGTCACAATACTGTGTCTTCCATAACCCCAGCCTTGTCCTTCGTCCCCTTTTGACCACAGATAACTACATGTCTTGAGGATAATCTGCTTGGAGATCTTCCATGCCATTCTCAACATCAAGATGCTCTATTGATTTTTCTTTTGCTCCCGGAATGTCCACTGATGCAGAATAACAGGAACTGGAAGACCCTGACAGTTAAATTTGCAAAGGCTATTTGTAAAATGAATAAGGAATCATTAGCTTTCTTGAGTAAGTCCTATATCATTTTATAAATATATTAAGTAGAATCACTTTTGAAGTAGAAATTGTAGCAAACATCAAATGGATTTCATACCTATTTTAGTACATGGTACGTGACGTTTTGCAAAGATTAAACAAAAGCCACAACTTCTCGACACACAGAGCAAGTGTTGTTCTTAGACTTGAATAGGACTAAGACTTTGTTATAATAGCATTAGACTTTGTTAGTTAACCATACAGTGTCCAGTCAAGGTAAATCATATTTTACAATGTTCAACCACATTTTGAAAACTTCAAACATTTGACAAAGAGTGATAAAAGCAAGGTTAAATTTATCACTGTTACTTTATTCAAAGTTAAGATATTTCATAATTTTAAGTAAATGTTGAAGGTCTGGTGCTTTAAAACTGCAGAGGTATATATAAGTGAACTATAAAAGAACGATTTAGCACTTTAGAAGGAGGTTACAGACTCTAAGCTTTGTGTATAAACATCAAACCCCCTGTTATGGTAGTTTGGAAGTGGGTAAGTGCACATATTCCAATCCTCAGCACCCACATGAAAAGCTGGCATGGCTGTGTGCACCTGTAACCCCGGAGCTGGGAGGAACAGAGAAAGGAGAACTGAGGCTTGCTGGCTACTAGACTAGCTCCAGATTCAGAACCTCTCTCAAAGAAATAAGGCATAGAATGATAAGTCAAGATGCTGGACATCCTTCTCTTCCCTCTGTGCATGTGTACACAAGTGTGCACACATATGTGCATGTGCCACGTGCGCGCGCACGTACGCAGGCACACACACACACACACACACACACACACACACACACACACACACACACACACACACTTTTATAAACACTCTCTGTCAAGAAATACCAAGTGTGGCTTAAGCATTACATTAAACTAACTCTTAAAGTTTCCATCACTTTCACATTGCCAGTGCACAGGCCTGGGCAAACAAACTCCAGTCCAGAAGATGGAATGTGCTATGGACAGATGCTTCCATTCTTCTTCTGCTGTGATAGTAATGACATGTATTTCTTCAGTGTACATAAACTTACACATGCAAGAAAAGGGCAAAGCTCCTTTACAGGATTCAATTATTACATTGTTCATGCATGTTTATTGGTTGAAGGAGCAGTTTATTTTTTAAATTAAATATAATAATTATGTCTCTGTGTGTACTTTGAGTGAATGTATGTGCATCAAGTGTGCACCAGAGCTGGTGGAGGCATGGAGAGAGTATCAGATACCCTGGACCTGGAGTTACAGACAGTTGTGAACCATCGTGTGGGTGCTGGAAACTGAACCACAGAGTCATGCCTCTAGGTTCAGCATTTGCATTGTTTCCAAGAGATTTTTCTGGGTGTGGGAGTGAACATCTGTAATTCTAGCACTTGGAAGGTAGAGGAAGAGGAAGGACCAAGAGTTCAAGGCCAGCCTTGGGTAAATAGTGAAGTCTGGGTTATATAAGGCATTGTCTCAAAAAGTGCTTTTCTTTTCTAGATCTAAGAGTCACATTTCAAAAGGCCTGATTCACTCTCAAATTTAAAAATATGTTCCTATGTTCCTACCATGATTTGTGCATGTATGTATGTATATATAGTTTGGGAGACTGAACTTGGTACCTTGCACATGTTAGGTGGAAAGTCTACTACTGAGCTATATTCCCACCCCTTTATGATATCATTTTTATTTATTTTTAAAGATATTTTAATTGGCAAATGGCAATTATACATATTTGTAGAGTACAGCATAAATTTTTTATCTTCAACATTTTTATGTGCACGGGTGTTTTGCCTGCATGTATGTCTGTACACCACATTCATGCCTGTGGCCAAGGAAGCCGGAAGACAATGTTGGATCCCCTGGAACTGGAAATACAGATGGTTCTGAGATGCCATGTGGGTGCTGGGAAGCAAACCCAATCATCCATAAGAGCAGTTAGTACTCTTAACTGCTAAGACATCTCTTCAGCCCCAGGGTGACATTTTTACAGTGTATACAAATCAGATCAAAGTAACTGACATAGCCGGGCGTTGGTGGCACACACCTTTAATCCCAGCACTTAGGAGGCAGAGGCAGGCGGATCTCTGTGAGTTTGAGGCCAGACTGGTCTACACAGCGAGTGCCAGGATAGGCTCCAAAGCTACACAAAGAAACCCTGTCTCAAAAAAACCAAAAAAAAAAAAAAAAAGTAACTGACATATTTATCTTCTCAAACATTTATTGCTTCTTTATGTTGGGAACATTTGAAATTCTTTCTACTGGCTGTTTTTAAACAATTATTTGTTATTAGTCGCTTTACAATGTTGGGATGCTGAAAGTATTTCCAGTTGCACACTTGTACCAGTTAATTATCCTCCCTCCATGGTCACTGTTCCTTCTACCTTTTTGAGATCAATACTTTTTGTTTACACTCAAGAAAACATCCCATGTTCCTGGCTTATTTAGCAAGTTCTAGAATTCACCCATGTTACTGTAAATGTCAGAATTTCTTTCCTCTTAGAATTTTCATGTTTAAATCTTTGGCCCATATGGTTTATGGAGATTAGATTTTATTTTTTTTTTCTAACAAGTTTTCAACTGTCCCTTCACCTTTATTGTTAAGTTTTATTTTCAGAATATGGAATGTACTAAATGTCTTGTATACTGGAGTCCATGATCTGCGTGGTATGCATCTAGATAATATCATTAGATAATATCATTTAATTGCATTAGCTTGGTAATTTATTTTATCCGCTTTGGTTGTTGTTTTTTGAGATGGAGTCTCTCGTAACCCAGAATGACCATCTTCCTGCCAATGCCTTCTGAGAAGTGGGATTTTAATATTTACTAAAGTTATTGTCAGAGAACTCCTATTTAAAAGTACTGAAGTCCAATGTAAGCTCAATAATGTTAAAAGTGAGGTATCTGCTATTTAAAATAAGCATACATGCATATTGCAGCTGTTTATGAAATCTGAAAACTTGAATTATTTTTCTATAAAAGAGTCAATAATATTGATTGTATAGTTTTAGATTTTTGCATCTGTTTGACAAAATTGCTAGTTTGAATGTAATGATGTCAGCACGTGATCTTAATGTCAGCACCCAAATGATGAGGTGGGAAGCCTGGCAGAAGTTCAGGGCCATCCTGGACTATGTAACAATACCCGATCTCAGGAACACCAAATCAAATAAGAACAATAAATGCAAAGAAAACTAATCATAAATATGAGCCAGTAGCAAGTTTCTTCGAATCCTGAGTTTGAGTTCTTTAATTTTAATGATTTTTTTTCAGAATAAAGCTTTCCCCTACATCTGCTGAGTAGTGTGTTGTTTGTGATAATATCCATAGAAAAGTTTTTTTATGATTATGATGGTAGATATGTCTTAAATAACCCAGCAGAAACTTTGGGATGTAAGGCTGAGAGGAGCGTGTTTATCATATTTGATTTTCACACCCTCAGGAAAGTGTTGGGCATCTTTAGAAGCTTCTTCTCTGGATACAGTGGTCCAGATGTTAAAGAGAGCTATCACCATCATCTCTCAACTGCATGATCCATATTCAAAAATACAGCATCAATGTGATCTTAAAGCTCTTTTAGAAGTGATGAAACATGTGCATAAGGTAAGGTTTCCTCTAAGGAAATATATATACCAACTTATTAAATAATAACTCTTTAGGTCTCAGACAGTTAAACACTTTGAATACACATTTCTAAAGATTTGTTTATTGCTGGAGAGATGGCTCAGAGGTTAAGAGCACTGACTGCTCACAGCTAGAAGGGACTTGGGTCAGGGATCTTCTTGTGTTATAGGTTTGGCTCCTATGAATCCTTCAGTCTGGATATTGCATTTGTGCTCCCCAGAGAGACTGTTCTTTAGTAACCACACATTTAAACACTGTTTAATTGCAATCTTTACATTCACTAAATAAGCACTCATAAGTTGGCACGAACTGAAGAATAGGACCAACAGAAATAAATACATGCATTTTCTCATCTGATCCATACCATAAACCTATAAAGTAGGTACAATGTTTTGAATAAGAATGACCCCCATGGGCTCATATATTTCAATGTCTGGTGTCGCTGAACACTTATTTAACTATACAAAGATGTGTTGCATTTGATTATATTGCAGAGTGTTTGCTTAACTGTGTAAAGATGTGTTGCATTTGTTTAATTATGTAAAAAAAAAAGAGCCCTGACTGCTCTTCCAGAGGTCCTCAGTTCAATTCCCAGCAACCACATGGTGGCTCGCAACCACCTGTAATGATATATCTGGTGCCCTCTTCTGGCCTGCAGGCATACGTGCAGGCAGAACACTGTATTTATTTATTATGTATATAGTATTCTGCCTGCACGTATCCCTGCAGGCCAGAAGAGGGCAGCGGATCTCATTAACAGATGGTTGTGAGCCACCATGTGGTTGCTGGGAATTAAACTCAGGACCTCTGTAAAAGCAGCCAGTGCTCTAGTTGAGCCATCTCCTCAGCCCACACTTTAAAAATATTTCAAATTAAAATATAATATCATTTCCCCCTTCCCTTTCTTCCCTGCAACCCCTTCCATGTCTTCCCAACTTTCTCTCGAATTCATGTACTCTTTAATTATTTTTGTTACATATGTATATAACTGCATATATGTATGAAGTCAACCTGTTGAGTCTATTCAGTGCTGCTTCTATATATGTTTCCAGGGCTGGCCACTTATTAGATAACCACTTAGGGTTTATTAGGTCTAATACTGAAGATGACTAATTCTCCCTCTCGGAAGTCCTTAGTTTGACTATAGTCCTTTTTTGTAGGGGTGAGACACTGTGACATTTCCACCTTCCACAATAGTGTATCTATTGGTACTGTCATTGCTCAGACATCATTTAGACAACTGTATAATTGAGGTATCATGGGTACAGCTTTCTTGTCATTTATAGGAAACACAATCATACAACAAGTTAGCTGGTCCTCTATCTCTTACGATCTTTCCACCCCCTCTTTCAGTGTTCTCTGAAATTCAGATAGAGGCACTGTAGATGTATCCATTGGGTCTGAACAACACAAGATCAGTTGTTCTCTTGCACTTTGATCAGTTGTAGTTTTCTGTAATGGTCTACATCTGCTGCCAAGAGAAGCATCACTGATGAGGGTTAAGAGCTACAATTATACGTGGATACAAGAATAGGTATCTGGAACGCTGTTGGGAATTATGGCACTCTAGTAAAGTGGCAGTAGTAGGTTCTGCCCTAAGATCCCGACCTTGCTATCCCTGGGTAGTTGTCTAATTTCTAGTACCAGGCATGATTTCCCTCCTGTTGAATGACCCTTAAGTCCGTTTGAGAGCTTCTCGTTACTGGCAAGATTCGAGTACCGTCTATAGAGCTTTCTTGCCATATTTGGCCTTGCTGTAAATCATAGGCATCACAACTGGGTAGAACTATTGGTGGCCTCCCTCCCTTGTCAGCTTTCATAATATGTTCTGAGACTATAAAACTAGACCCCCAGGAGGAGGCTTTCAGGTCAGATCCATATCTAATGCTGTTAGTCCTGTGTCTGAAGTGTATGATGTTTTCAACCTCTGGGAAGTAACCAAAGGCAGCAAGCAATAGCCTATGTTGTTTTGAGAGTCTCTAGAACTACCCTGACCTACAACTCTAAAGAAAATTTCTTATGTGTGGTACTGAGTTCTTTTAGATAGTCTGTGGCCCTTGTGGGGAGCCCTGCCAGCCCAAGTGGCATAAATTCAGTGTGTGTGCGTGCGTGCGTGCGTGCGTGCGTGCGTGCGTGCGTGCGTGCGTGCGTGCGTGTGTGTACAAAAATCATGTAACTTTAGGTTAGTAAAATAAAATGAAATGATTCCTACGGCTTTTTCAAGCATCTTTAATGCCGTTTTCACCTGCTGTCTCACTTCCTTTCTATACTGACCCCTTCACCTCCTCCCCAGTTGAAGTCTCCCTGGTTTTCCTATTTCCCCTTTCTCATCATTTGTGCCCTACTATTCCCTTTCAAGGATTCCTTCTCTCTCACTCTCTCCCTGTCTCAGTCAGGGTTTCCATCGCTGCAATGAAACACCATCACCAAAAAGCAAGTTGGAGAGGAAAGGGTTTATTTGGCTTACACTTCCGGATCATAGTCCATCATTGGAGGAAGTCAAGATAAGATCTCAAGCAGGGCTGCACCCTGGAGGCAGAAGCTAATGGAGAGGCCATGGAGGGGAGCTGCTTACTGTCTTGCTTTCCTTGGTTTGCTCAGCCTGCTTTCTTATAGAACCCAGGACCACCAGCCCAGAGATGGCAGCACCCACAATGGGCTGGTCCTCCCACATTGAACACTAATTGAGAAAATGCCTTATAGCTGGATCTCATAGAGGCATTTCCTAAACTGGGCCTCCTTCCTCTTGATGACTACAGCTTGTGTCAATTTGACAAACAAAACCAGCCAGTACAATCCCAATAGTCCCTTTTTACTATCCTGGTTTCTGTGGTTTCTCTATGTTGTATGCTCACACATGAAGATTTGGAGCTAGAATCTATGAATGGGTAGAACATGTAACATTGTTTTTCTGTGTCTGAATTACTTCAGTCAGAATAATATTCTCTATCTCTGTTTACCTGAAATTTCATTGCTTCATTTTTCTTTAGAGCTGAATAATATTACATAGTGTATATGTACCACATTTCATTGTTCATTCATCAAATGAAGGACATTTGGATCATTTCCATTTCCTAGCTATTGTAAGTAGGGGCAATGAAAATGGCCAGGGAAGTATCGGTGGAATAGGATATTACGATATTTTGAATGAGAATGCCTCCTAAGGCTTATATGCTTAAATACTTGGCCTCCAGTTGGTGGCTGCTTGGGGAGGATTATGAGATGTGGCCTTGCTGGAGAAGTATGTCACCACATGAAGGCTTCCAAAATGTATGCTATTTTGAATTAGCTCTTTCTGCTTTGTACTTGTAATCAAGATGTGAGTTCTTAGCTATTCTGGTTGCCATGTCTTGGCTCCACCATCGTGGCTCCCACCGTCTAACGCAATTCTTATAGTTTTTATAAGAATTACAGTTCTTATAGAAGTTATCTTGGTCATGATATTTTGGCACAGCAATATCAAAGGAACTAAGACAGATGTCCTGTCCTTTGGGTATATAACAGTGGTTCTCAACCTGTGTGTCACAACCTCTTCAGGAGTCAAACAAAACTTTCACAGGGGTCACCTAAGACCATCAGAAAAATACAGATATTTACATTACAATTCATAACTGCAGCAAAATTGCAGTTATGAAGTAGCAACAAAAATAATTTTATGGTTGGGGTAATCACAACATGGGGAACTGTATTAAAGGGCCACGGCATTAAAAAGGCTGAGAAGCACTGGCATATACTAAAGAGTAGTATCCTGGGTTATATGGTAGATTTATATTGGCTTTTTTCTCTCCACTGATTTCAAGAGTGGTTGCACCAACTTGCAATTTCACCAACAGTGATGAGTGTTCCCCTCTCCAAACATCTCTCCAGTATTTGTTTTGTTACTTGCTTTGTTAATCTCAGCCATGTGGTTAGGATAAGTTGAAATCTCAAAATTCTTTTGATTGCATTTCCATAATTCTTAAGGATTATGAACATTTTTGATGTATTTCTTAGCCATGTTATTTATTCTTTTAAGAACTCTCTGTTCAGACCCATGGCTCATCATTTGTTTTCTCAACTCTTTGTTTTAAAGATCTTTATATATTCTAGTTATTAATACTCTGCCACAGGTATAGCTGGCCAACAGTCTTTGCCACTCCGTGGGTTTCCTCTTGACTTTACTGACTTCCTTAACTGAAAAAGTTTTTTTCAGTTTTATGAAGTTCTGCTTCTCAATTGATGGTCTTAATTCCAAGGCAAATGAAGTTCTATTCAGAACATTTTTTCCCTATACCTGTATCTTATAGAATACTGCCAACATTTTCTTCCCTCTGTTTCAGTATTTCAGGTTTGAAACTGGGTTTTTGATCCATGCAGGGTTAATATTCTGCAGTGTGGCATGTGTGGATATGTGTTGATTCTTCTGCGTGTGGACATTCAGTTTCCCCAGCACCATTTCTTGAAGATACCATCTTTTCCCCAGAAAGTTTTTGGTATCTTTGTCAAATATCACATGGGTGCAATTATGTGCATTTTCCTTTGGGTCTTTTATTGTGTTCTATTAGTTTACCTGTCTAGTTTTGTGCTTAAGTTAGGCTCTTTTTTGTTACTGTGGCTCTGCAATATATTTTGAGATCTGGAATGTAGTCCTCTTGACATTGTTCATTTTGCCCAGGATTGCTTTGGCTATCTGGGGGTATTTTCTGGATCCATATGCATTTGAGGAATTTTTTCTATTTGTGTGTAGCATTTAATTGGGGTTGCACTGGGTCTCTAAACTGCTTTGGGCTGATTCGTCACATCACAGTATTAATGTAATGAGCACAGAATGTCTTTCAATTTTTTTTACTGTCTCTTTCTTCAGAGATTTAAAGCTTTCATTGTAGAGGTCTTTTACTTTCTTGGTTAGGTTTATTCCTAGTGATTTATTTTATTTTTGAAGCTTTTGTTAATGGGAGTGTATGCATGATCTCTTTCTCAGTATGTTTGCTGTTGGTGTA